TTTTTTGTAGATACTCTTCATCAGATTTTGGAGGTTTCCTTCCATTCAGTCTAAATGTTTTTCTGTGAATTGGGTTTTTAACTTTATCAAAGGTTAAATTTTAGCTTGAAGGTTCCCAGACCTTGTAAGTAATATAAATTTAAACCCCAAGTCACATGAAATCAGGCCTACTGTTACATGTTCTTGGGGAGACTGCTTAGCCCTACCAGCCCCAGATCCAGGCCAAGACAGATTAACTTCCTCAACACCACCCTGGGCCAATAAGCAACGTTTCTGTGGTTCACACTTTCACTAAGGGTCCAGCCCTTCAACAATCCTGCTTTTGCGGGGATGTCAGTTACCATTCCCCTCCTCACATAGGCCCAGAGTGTCATCTCCTGTCCTGACATGGCTGTTATAATCCAATCTACTCTTTGGGTTTTGAGGTAGGCACAGATCCTAGGGCAATGGCCAGACTCTCCTGGTTTTCAGTTATGGCTTATTTGGGGCCCTATTAATTTTCCTTACTTTCTTAGGAGTCAGATATGTATTTAAAAGTAGTTATTTCCTATATTTTAGCTTCTATTTCCAAGTATTTTCTTGTGAGAGGGTTTTCAGGTTATCCAATCTATCATAATTATGGAAACAGAGGCATTTGAAGATTTTAAATCCATTTGGCATCATGAAGGTTACTCATATACTCAGCAAGACCAGTTTGAGAAAACTGGTGAGGGCAGAAAGCAAACCAGTGGGTTCAAGAGTAAGTGTGTGATCAATTTCAAAACTTACTACAAAGCTACAGTAAGCAAGTGCATACCGGCATAAGGAAAGACATACAGATCAATGGAATAGAATGAGACTCCAGAAATAAACTGCTACATTTATGGTCAACTGATTTTCAACAAGGATGCCAAAATAATTCATTGGGGAAAAATAATCTTTTTAGCAAATGATGCTAGGACAACTGGACATCTACATGCAAAAGAATGAAACTGACCCCTACCTCAAACCACCCAGAAGAATGAATTCAAAAAGGATCACAGGACTTCCCTGGTGGCACAGTGGTTAAGAATCCTCCTGCCAATGCAGGGGACACGGGTTCGAGCCCTGGTCCAGGAAGCTCCCACATGCCATGAAGCAACTAAGCCCATGCGCTACAACTACTGAGCCTGCGCTCTAGAGCCCACGAGCCACAACTACTGAGCCCATGTGCCACAAATACTGAAGCCTGCGCACCTAGAGCCTGTGCTCCGCAATGAAGAGCAGCCCCCGCTCGCCACAACTAGAGAAAGCCTGCACACAGCAACGAAGACCCAATGCAGCCAAAAATAAATAAAATTTTTAAAAAAGGATCATAGACCTAAATATGAGAGCTAAAACTATAAAACTCTTAAAAGAATGCATAAGTGTACATCCTTGTGATCTTGGATTAGGCAATGGATTCTTAGATATGGCACCTAAAGCACAAGCAACCAAAGAAAAAAACAAAATTGTAATGCATCAAGATTAAACTTCTGTGTTTCAAAGGACACTACAGAGAAACTAAAAATACAACTGATGGCAGAAAATATTTCCAAATCATATATCTGATAAGAGACCTGTATCCAGAATGTATAAAGAACTCTTTCAACTCAATAATAAAAAGACAGGGCTTCCCTGGTGGCGCAGCGGTTGAGAGCCCGCCTGCCGATGCAGGGGATACGGGTTCGTGCCCCGGTCCGGGAAGATCCCACATGCCGCGGAGCGGCTGGGCCCGTGAGCCATGGCCGCTGAGCCTGCGCGTCCGGAGCCTGTGCTCCGCAACGGGAGAGGCCGCAACAGTGAGAGGCCCCTGTACCGCAAAAAACACAAACAAACAAACAGGGACTTCCCTGGTGGCGCAGTGGTTAAGAATCCGCCTGCCAGTGCAGGGGGACACGGGTCCGATCCCTGGTCTGGGAAGATCCCACATGCCGCGGAGCAACTAAGCCCACGCACCACAACTACTGAGCCCGTGTGCCACAACTACTGAAGCCTGTGTGCCACAACTACTGAAACCCATGCACCTAGAACCCGTGCTCTGCAACAAGAGAAGCCACGGCAATGAGAAGCCCACGCACCGCAACAAAGAGTAGCCCCACTCGCCGAAACTAGAGAAAGCCCGTGAGCAGCCAACAAAGACCCAATGCAGCCAAAATTAAATAAATAAAATAAATGTATTAAAAAAAAAAGGACAAAAAAAAAAGATTTTGGCAAGGAAGTGGAAAAACTGGAATCCCCGTACATTGGAATCCCCATACATTGCTGGTATGAATGTGAAATGTTACAGCTCTTTTGGAAAACAGTTTGGCACAGAGTTATCATGTGACCCAGTAACTTCACTCCTAGGTATATACCAAAGACAACTGGAACATACGTTTACACATAACGTGTACACCAATGTGCAGAGCATTATTCATAAAAACCAAAAAGTGGCAACAACCCAAATGTCCAGTGATGAATGGATAAACCAATGGTGGTATATCCATATAAATATTTTAGCCATAAAAAGGAATGAAGTACTGAGACATGCTATAAAACATGTGAACCCTGAAAACATTATACTAAGTGAAAGAACACACAAAATGCCACACGTTGTATGACTTCATTTACATGAAATAGCCAGGATAGGCAAATCCACAGAGACAGAAAGTAAATTAGTGGTTGCCAGGGGCTGGAGGAAGAGAGGAGGAGGGACTGCTAATGGGTATGAGATTTACTTGGGGGTGATGAAAATATTCTGGAATTAGTGGTGATGGCTGCACAACCTTGTGAATATACTAAAAACCACTGAATTTTATGCTTTAAAATAATGAATTTTATGGTATGTGATTTATATCTCAATAAAAAGAGAAAGGTTAATAAAGTAAAAAATCCTGGCTACTGTTATTGCTATGAATAATAAATCATCTTTCATCTCTGATCCAAGACTTTCATCTTCTACCAACAGCCATGAAACTGCTGCAGGCTAATCTGTTGGCTTGCAAGCAGCGTAAAGTCGCAGACACTTACTTCATGGTTCTTGATGAGGCATTTATGTTTTTATGTTCTGTGGTGTTTTTTTTTAATTAATTAATTGATTTATTTTTGGCTGCATTGGATCTTCGTTGCTGAGCGGGCTTTCTCTAGCTGCGGCGAGTGGGGGCTTCTCACTGAGGTGTCTTCTCTTGTGGAGCACAGGCTCTAGGCGCGCGACCTTCAGTAGTTGTGGCTCACGGGCTCTAGAGTGCAGGCTCAGTAGTTGTGGCACACGGGCTTAGCTGCTCCGCGGCATGTGGGATCTTCCCGGACCAGGGCTCAAACCCGTGTCCTCTGCATTGGCAGGCGGATTCTTAACCACTGCACCACCAGGGAAGTCCGGCATTAATGTTAAAATAAGAAACTTCTTTTTAAAAACCTACTTCTTTAGCTCATGTCTGCCCTCTCCTATGAGACTGGTCTGCATTTGTTAAGTTGGAAGAAAGCACCGTGGGGAAGGCTGCTGCTTTCCCGTGAAGGGGGCAAGGATCAAAGGCCCCCTATACCACAGTGTGGGTCAGCATAGCCAAGCAAGCCCCAGGTGCTGGGCTGCGAAACAGGGTCTTCTGGAGAGAGGTGGCAGAGCCTCTCAGTGCCTCGCCTCCCCAAGACCACTGCAGAACTGCCTGCAGGGCTCCTGCCCTCATCTCACTGTCAAATAATGGGTTGTAGCAGCCTGCCAACAAGGGGAAGGGGAATCAGCCCCAGTACTCTCTTCTCTCAGATGCCAAGAATCCCCCAACCCACCCCTTTGACTCTTGGTTTAATTCACTGGGTCAAGATGAATTACTTCATTCTCTGGGCTCCAATACCATGTTCTTCTCTCTTTGTCAGATAAAAACATAATAGATTCATCTCTTTTTATGGTGAGTTATTTACACGTCTTATAGATTATGTGGTTTGGTACTTGGGGGCAACTGGACATGGACTCAACTCTTGGCTGACCACTCACTAGGTCTGTGTACTTGGGTAGGGGGGACCTCTTAGAGCCTTAGATGCCTCATCTCCAAGATGGAAATACCACCCACCACCCAGAGTTATTATAAGAATTTAATAAAACCACACTAATGAAGCATTTAGCCTATTTCCCGGAGCATCTCTGATAATTAAAATATAGTAACTGGTGTAAAAGGAATAAGGCACAATTTGGGCAGAGAAGATTGAGTTTAGCTAATTGGCAAGGAGGCACGAGACCAGGACATTTTCGAAAAATGTCTGACATGCAGCAGGGGCTCCACAAAAGTTAGTTTCCCTCATCCTTCATCTGAGACTGAGCTTGAGCGCAAGGACCAGGTTATCTTTTAGCGTGCTGAGTGCGCCTCAGGCACATTATCTTGCGTTACTCACAAATTTTTAAATGCTCCCAAAAAATTAAAAAGGCAGGGGATGCTTCAAATCAGTAGATTACACTTCCATTCTCTCTTCATCTGTACTTCAAATGCACTTATTACAAATTTTAAGTACTTACGTTGTTCTATAATTATTTCAGGTTTGGTGGTCTGGCCTGCCCAAATAGACAGGAAGATTCCGGGGGTCAAATATGGTTGTTTATATTCTACTCTCTAAGTACACAGCCAACTGACTGAACTGGTTCATTTCAAAGTGAAATGAGTGTAGTTTCTAGGCTGAGACCCCACTGCTCCCTATGACCAAAGGATCGGCAATTGAACCCTCACAAGGCTCCCTTCCTAAAGGGAAGCTGCCTCACCGCTGCCCCTCCATTCAAAGCGATAAGGAGGGTGACCACCCATCCAGGTTTACATGGATGGTTGGATGCAGGATGCTCCACACTAAAAGTGGGAAGTCCAAGGCAAACCGTGAATTGGCTGTGAGCTGGTCAGCGTAGTCACCAACCAGCGACTACTTGCACATTCGTAGCTCTAAAATACCTTTTAAAACTGGTAAAACTGTTACTGGCAGGTTTAAGTCATATGGGGGAGACCAAAGAAGATAAGAAGCAACCGTTCACAGAGAGTGAAGCATACCTCAGAGATATCCAGCGGGAGATTGCCAACGTACACCTGTGTCTCTCTTTTCTTGAATCCTAAGAAGAAAAATAGCCAAAAGGAAGGCAGGTGTAAGGCTAGAGGATTCAGAGGAGTTAGAACATGTGATAAATGACACATTTTCCTCAAGGTTAAAACATACACACACAGTCCCCTACAAACATCCCCCCACACACACCGTGATCAGTGAAGGGTTATACAGCACTCAGTCGGTCTGCAGACACTTATCAGGGTTATGGGAGTGGTCCAGTGTTAAGTGCTGGCCTTGGATATCACTGCCTTCAAGGCAGGAGCGTACTCGCTGGGGGCTGGGGGGACAGCGAGTCATCAGCACACCAGGAATCCAGGGCTTCCAATGGGGTATTATGTAGTTTCAGGACCAAAGGGGGTAGTATTTCAAAGTTAACATTCAGCTGAAGGAGGGAAGGAAGTGGGGGTTAATGCAGGAGGGAGGCAGAGGGCAGGGCACACGCAAAGGCATGGAGATGCGAAAAGGCGCGCGTCTGGGAGGCTGCCTGGAGTCAGGAATAGCTAGACGCACGCCGCAGGTGGGTGAGTGGTGACAGAAGGAAGAAAGGCAGGCCAGGCCAACTGCTGAAATCGATGACCGCTGCCCACAGCAGTCTCAGCAGAGTCCACTGGCTGTGAGAAGGAGGTGAAGGGTTCAATCAGAGAGGTGACATCAACACGGCTAGGTTGCAGAAAGATCACTTTGGAGATGGTGGAGGGTGAAATGGGAGGAGATAAGGATTAAAGAGAAGTATGGGGTTAGGAGCAGCCAGCGCAACAGCGTCTGAGGGTCTGCACAGTGTGTGGCAGAGGGATGCATCCCTCATGTGAAAGGAAACGTGGTGACTGGAGCAAGGGCAGGATCTCAGGTTTCATGCTTGAAGAGAAACTGAGTAGATTAATTAGGATCCAGGTTATAGACTGAGCGTCCCAGCACCAAGCAAACCCCCAAGCTAACTCACTTGGAGATTTCTGTTCCTCCAACACTCCATTCTTCCCAAATACTTCAGCAGAGGGTCGGAAGTCACTGCTGCTCCAGGACCTGTCAAACACAGGTCTTAGCATTGCACCTCCCAAGGGCAAACTCCAACAGAAGGAGTTTGGGCATAACAAGCAGGGCCCGGCAGAAGCCTCCACACCCGCTTCCTGACAGAGGGTTTCCCTTCCTCCTTCCAGACTCGGGTTCCAAGCACGAAGCCCTCCACTGGGCCTTTTTAATCGCTAATTGTTAAAGCACATTTAGTGTCAGAATCAACAGGCAAGAAATGCTGGGGTTGACTCCTAAGCTCTGGGCATTGGGAGGCAGGAGGAGAAGGAAGAGAAGGGTGTGGGGTGGAAGGAGGCTTGTTTATCAGCAAAAGGAAACAACTTACATGCTGCAGTTTCTTTCCAACAGGATCTCCTGCAAAGCCAACCAGCCACAGTTAGAGGAATGCCAGGATCATTCACCAACACATTACTGAATAGGTACTGTGGCACGCAGAATCATGCCCCCCAGCAAAGTGGTCCATTTCTTAATCTCCAGAACCTATTAAGGGTTCTGGTCACCAATTCCGATTTGGGGGGGAGCAGTTTTACCACACCACCAAGCACTGCTCCAGACACCAGCTGGGTGTCCTACAATGCAACTCAATTCTGACACTGTCTACCCAGGAGATAGCATCAGACTCCACAGGTTAAGGGCTCAGTCCCACAGGACTGCCCCGCTTCAGACGCCAGTCACCTGCAAGCCCAGGTTGTCACCTGTGCTTCTGATTGACCACCTATAGACTGGAGGTTCGCACAACCCCTCCTTGGGTCCCATCACTTTGCTAGAGTGGCTCACATCTCAGAGAAACATTTTCCTTACTAGATTGCCATTTATTTAAAAAGTATATAACTCAGGAACAGCCAGATGGGAGAGATGCATGGGGCAAGGCACAGGGAAAGGGCACAGAGCTTCCATGCTCTCTAGGTGCGTCACTGTCCCCAAATCTCTACTGTGTTCACCAACCTGGAAGCTCTCAGAACCCATACTTTTGGGTTTTCATGGAGGCTTCATTGCAGAGGCATGACAGATCAGCCCTTGGTTCTTTTCCTGCAGGTAAGAAGGCTGTCAAAGTCATTTTAAAGGGATTTTTTTTTCTTTACTTTGGGAGAAACAAAAATTAAAACGTTAAATTTTAAAAGAAAGTAGTAACGCTGTCCTCTAAATTGTTCCCAGCTGCAGGAGGAAACCGCTTTAGTTGCAACTAAATTTAAATAGAACTAACAGTGGTTAAGATAATTAAAAGGCTTAAGTATTCATGAATAAAAATAGAGAGGTTTATGGGCAGAATCAGGCTATGGCTGTTACTCTCAATTTCCTGGTAATCCCTGGAAAAATCTATGGGCTTCTGGAACAGGGAGGGCACCAACACCTCCCAAGCAAGGGCCCAGCATAAATCTTTCAAAGATGCCTTTAAGGGCCTGCCAGGTGCTATGCTAACTAAACAGCTAATGTACATTGTCTCATTTAATCCTCATGGAAACTCTCAGAACTTGCCATTATTACCCCACTGTACAGATGAAGTCCTGGAGGCTCAGAGACCATAATCTGGTAGTCTGTCAAAGATCACTTAATTTATGCTCATAAATAGAGAAGTCTGTTTTTTTAATTCAAACCATATGACTCAAAAGTCATGAGCTTCCACTCTATTGCTTGGTCTGGAAAAGTGTCTTATTTGTGTTTTTAAAAAGACAAAGAGTAGGACTTCCCTGGTGGCGCAGTGGTTAAGAATCCGCCTGCCAACGTGGGGGACATGGGTTCGAGCCCTGGTCCGGGAAGATTCCACATGCCATGGAGCAACTAAGCCCGTGTGCCACAACTACTTAGCCTGCGCTCTAGAGCCTGCGAGCCACAACTACTGAAGCCCTGGCGCCTAGAGCCCGTGCTCCACAAGAAGAGAAGCCACCGCAATGAGAAGACTGCACCACGACGAAGAGTAGCCCCTGCTTGCTGCAACTAGAGAAAGCCCACGTGCAGCAATGAAGACCCAACGCAGCCAAAAATAAATACATTTATTTAAAAAAAAAAAGACAAAGAGTATATAAAGAACTCTTACAACTCAATAATAAGGCAAATAGGGAGTTCCCTGGTGGTCTAGTGGTTAGGATTCGGCGCTTTCACTGCAGGGGCCTGGGTTCGATCCCTGGTCAGAGAAACCATCCTGCATGCAGTCTGGCGTAGCCAAAATAATAATAATAATAATAATAATGCAAATAAACCAATTAAAAGTGGACAAATCACCTGATAGACATTTCTCCAAAGATAAACAAATGTCCAATAAGCACATGAAAAAGACTCTCAACATATTTAGCCATTAAGGAAATGCAAATCAAAGCCACAAGGATACATCACATCCACTAGGAGGGCTATAATTTAAAAGACAGACAATAAGTGTTGAGATGTGGAGAAATGGGAACCCTCATATTGCTGGTGGGAACGTAAAGTGGTGCCGTTTGGGACACAGTTTGGCAGTTTCTCAAAAAGTTAAAGAGAATTCCATATGACCCGGCAATTCCACTCCTGGGTATCTACTCAAGATAAATTAAAATTGATGTCCACCAAAAACTTGTTCACAAATATTCACAGCAGCATTGTTCACAATATCCAAAAGAAAACAACTCAGGGACTTCCCTGGTGGCGCAATGGTTAAAGAATCTGCCTGCCAATGCAGGGGATACGGGTTCGATCCCTGGTCGGGGAAGATCCCACATGCCTGCCACGGAGCAACTAAGTCCTTGTGCCACAACTACTGAGCCTGCGTGCTGCAACTACTGAAGCTCACACACCTAAGGCCCGTGCTCCGCAGCAAGAGAAGCCACCGCAAAGAGAAGCCCGCGCACCGCAAGGAAGAGTGGCCCCGGCCACAACTAAAGAAAGAAACTAAAGAAAGCCCACATGCAGCAATGAAGACCCAACGCTGCCAAAAACAAATTAAATTTTAAAAAACAAGAAACAACTCAAATGATCATCAATTGACAGATGAACAGATAAATAAAATGTATACCCAAAGAATGGAATATTATCTGGCAATATAAGTGGACTAAAATATTGATAAATGCCACAACATGGATGAACCGCAAAAACATGATGCTACAGTAAGAAACCACACACAAAGGGTCACATATTGTATGATTCCACTTATATGAAAAGTCCAGACTAGACAAATCTGTAGAAACAGAAAGTAGATTGGTGGCCGCCTAGGTCTGGGGGTGGGGGGGGCGGCGGGGAATGAGGAGTGACTGCTAACAAGGTTTCCTTTTGGCGCCCCAAATGCTCTAAACAGGGAAATGTTCTAAAATTAGATTGTGGTGATGGCTGCACTGTAAATATACTAAATACCTTTTAATTGTACACCTAAAACAGGTGAATTTTATGGTGTGCAAATTATATCTCAATAAAGTTTTTTTTTTTTAAAGGTAAGGCACATTTTCAAGAATGGCTGGAATAAGCAAGCATTTCTTTTGCCACTCCACATCACAAACCAACGCCCACACAAATGAAGCCAATGAGTGGCCAGGATCATTCAGTCCCCCTGGCTTGAATTGGATTTAGAACGTATTGCGTTAGCCTCAACAGCACGTTTAGTTTTTTAAGCTAAAAAGTTTTTAAATTTAAAGTTTTTAAATTCACTCTGGTATCCACTCCCACCCACCAACCCCACTAAAAATTAGTTCTGCAGACGCACCTGGCGAGAGCAAGCGACAAGCTCCGAGGGGTAACACGCGCCCCGCCACCATGGGGGGGAAATGAGAGGTGCAGTTTCCACAAACGCCTCCCAACGCCCAGGTCCCCGCCACCGTCCGCCCGGCAGCCCGGGGCCGGGAACCAAAAAGCTGTACCTTCTCCCTGCCAGGTACATCCAGCCTGCAGCCCAGACGCTGAGCCTTAGCTCCTTCTTCCTGCGCGCTTCTACTCCTCCGACGCCCGCGGGGTACGGGGCGGGGCCGCCCCTCCGCAGCCAATCCCCGGTCGGCTGCAGCCCGGCCGGGCGGGAAGACCTGCGTGCTAGCTGCGCCGCGCCAGGAGTGCTCGCTAGGACGGTAGCTGCACCGGCTCGGGAGCAAGCGTCCGCGGGCCCTGCTCCCGCTTTTAATAGACACCCTCCCCCCACACACAACCCCAAAATATGCTTGCAGAGATAGTGGAGCGAGTGACAGTGGCGCGCGCCTAGCTCTTTTAGGAGTGGAGGGGCTCCCATCCTGGGTCGGAGAGGTGCACGTGGAGCACTTGGACTGCGTTTGAAGGCAGCGCCTGGCCGAGACCGGCTCAGTGCAGATGGGGAGCTGCTTACCCAAAACGTGGGGGTCCCTAACCACGCGGGCGCAACCGGTCAGCATGTAGAGCTGCTGCTACCTTCCCCCGAACATGCACCCCGGACCCGCCTCTGCAGAGGCACTGACCCCGGCGCCCCCGGATCTGGGCGGGAGGTGGCGGGCGGGGAGGCGCCAGCCTCGGAGGGGAGGGGCGCGCGGAGAGGGCGGGCTGCCCGCTGGCGGCCCACCGTCCGTCGCGGCGCCGGGGACACTCCCGCCGCCTCCGCTTCGTCTCCCCTGGTCCCCGGGAGTGTGGGCAGGGCTGTCCCCGGGCTTCCGTGGGCCCGGCCTCTCCCACTTCGGGAGGAAAACGCAGGGGAAGCCCCCGGCGCCCGCCGCCCCCGGAGACCCGCGGAGCCCCTGGCCGTGCAGGCGCTGAAGACGAGCTCGGGCGGGGCCCCAGTGCGTCGTGCCTGTCGCCGTCCGTGTCCGGAGCGGCGGCTCGCGCCCGCCCGCTCGGCGCCCCGAACACCCCTCCCCGGGCCATAGGGGCCCCACCCTGCGGGGTGTAGGCGACGGCCGGCCCGGGACGAGCGGAGCAGCCGTCGCGGGGCCTTGTCGCGGCCTCTAGCGCCCCAGCCCCGGGGAATGCAGTGGCCCCCGGCCCCTGGCGCTTCTCCGTGTCTAAGCTGGGCCTCCTCGCTCGCCTGCTCCGCGGCCACGACGCTCCTGAGCCGCGCCGGCCGGGCCCCCCTCATGGCGGCCAAGTGGTTCAAGGAGTTCCCCCTGAACCTGAAGACAGTGTCGGAGCGGGCCAAGCCCGGCGGCGGGGGAGGCGGCAAATTGCGCAAGAACTCGGAGGCGGGCGGCGCGGGGCCCGCCCCGGGCAAGGGCCGAAAGAACTCGGCGGCCGAGCTGGGGAGCAGCCGGGCCGGGGTCGGCCCCCCCAAGGATAGCCGGCTATCCCGAGACAGCCTGCAGGGTCTGATTCAGGCCGCCGCGGGCAAGGGCCGCAAGAACTCCCGGGCCACCGAGGAGGAGCCCCACCGGGGCGCGGCCAAGAGCTCAGGCTGCAGCACCTACATCAACAGGCTCATCAAGGTGGACACTCAGGAGAAGAAT